TGAAGTTCATATGTTTATGTTTGTATCAATTCGTTATTTTGAGTTTTATTATATTTATATAATTTCAGATTTTATATTACTCAATTATACAAAAATACATGAATTATACAAACGTACCTGCGAATTATACAAATTATTGTCCTCTCTCCTCCCTCTCCCAATCTCACTCGCCTCTCTCCTCCATCTCCCAATCTATCTTGACAGAATATACAAATACATATGTATAGTATACAATTATCTAACCGATATACATATACAATTCACCTCTCTCCCACTCTCTGCCCTCTCTCCTCCCTCTCCCAGTCTCACTTGTCACTCTCATCCCTCTAACATGTAGCTACGAATCGTAATTAGCAAACTATATGCAAAAGTTTCTCTTAATATAATGTATTTCACATGAGAAAATGATCAAAATGGTCCTAGGAGGTTTGAAGTGTTATGGTTCTTGATATATACTATTTAATTGAAATAGTTTTTCGTGTATGTAAAATATGATCGTTTTGATTTGTAGCTCTAAAACAGAACGGTTGTTGTTAAATTTTAAACATCCGCAATCATATTGATGGAAAAAAAAGTTCTCTCATGAAATGGAACTTTTTAATTTCCAAATGTACACACACAAAAAAAATAAAAAATCGTGAACTTATTAACTTTTTTATACTAGGACCTTAGTTTAGTTAAGGTATGTTTCTGAAATTTCGGTCATAGTCTAGGGGGTACTTGTGCCTTATTCCATGTTTGTAACTATATAATTATATATTTTAAAAATGACAAAGAAACTAAATCAATCAAAAAATAATTTTAAAAAAAAATCAAAGCGATCAAGAACTAACCTAAATCTTTTGTTTTGATTCTAACATTTAAAAATCGACTTAATTGATCTAATTTTCTTTTTTTTTAAAACTAATTCAAACTGAACCATGAATATCTCCACTCCATTATTAAATTGAAGTGGTATTTGGATTAATTTATTTACCAATACATCTTAAATCCTTAATGTTCATGTCTAGTTATTTAACAATATATAATAAAAACAAAAATTGAAACTTAGCTTCTTCAAAGAGTTATGGAGATATGTAAAATACTAAGATCAATGTTGTAAGATTTGATTTGCCAATAAAACTAAGATACGACATCATTAGATTTGTCAATTTGCTTGTATAAGTGTGTGTACCGTTTTAATCCAAGATTCACCTATGTCTTATACATACAACGTATATAAACTATGTCTTATATGTAAATTAAAGTTCTTCACTTTTCTATCTCATTCTGATGTAGGATTCACTTATGTCTCATATGCACTTCATCTTCAAAAGTTTATCATCCTAGAAATGATGGTTACGATCATTAATACAGTCAATGTTCATCTTTGTCCTTGAGCTCCTTTAACATCCTCTCTATCTTATTCTCGTCTTTTGATAATTTTGGTGCCTTCCTATACTGGAGATCAATAACGGAGCTTGAATTTTTAATAAGTAGGTTCAAAATCTGAAAAAGTAAACACATGAATTAATCGAAGAAAATTCGACATCTACTATATATACATAAAATTAATTTTAACCACATATAAATGATAATATTTTCTGATGAACCCCTAACAATAAATTCTTTCTAATGAAACGTGGATGCTATACGACTATTTAGGTAATTTTTATTAGGAAACGTGTGATATTATTTTAATTCCCATTTTCTTGTACTTTTATTTGAATCATTTCTCTTTAGTCTTTACTTCTTCTTTTTTTGATAGTTTAAGTGGCTTCATATATGTTGGAATAAAGAGATAGATATGTGGCTACTATATTTTTGTATCTTTTAATTATAACTAGCCATTTTCCATTTTTATCAAGACAAAAATCTTTAAATTAAAACTCATGATTTATAAGGGTTAATGATATTCATAGATATAATTCAAAAAGAAAAGGTAATATTTCATATATATATAGTATAAGTGAGTGATCACGATCTAGACTGAGATATAAGTGGTTATTATTGTTATATTGAGTCATGACATGCAAAGTCTCGTTTCAAAATATGACTTTGATTCTCGCATTAGGGTTCAAGAGTTGACATTATTTATCTGAGTTAATGTTAAAAAAAACACACCTCAAGTATTTTCGATTTTTGAATTTTATATCTGAACTATTATCAACACTATTTGTCAAAACATACCTCAGCTATAAATTGTTTTCTTTTTCTACATCAAATATCACCAACGTTCATGTATGTTTTGGAAACAATTGATATATAGATGAGGTATGTTTTGATAAATAGTTGACAATAATTTAAGTATGAAACACAAAAAAAATACTTAATTTAAATGTGTTTTTGATCCTTTACTTTATTTTCCTTCCTTTCAAGAATGTCATAACTCAAAAACTCTGACCATTACACGATTTTTCTCCAAGACAGAACTAGGAGACTTGAGAAGTTCATCCAAACTCCCTCAAAAAGAAGGCAACGCTTTAAAACATTTAAGTGAATTTTTGCATAATCAACTCATACTTGTAAAAATGATTTGCATAAGCCATGAGTAGATCAAAATAATTAAAACGAGTAGAATCTTAATAGTGTTAATTCATTACCTATTAAAGAAGATAATGAAATAGTTAACATAAATGTGGTATGTGGTAAATTCTAGGGATGTCAATGGTACGGTTCGGTCGATTATTTTTTAAAAATTATACTATTTTAATTTTTCGGGTATTTTATAATATATAACCAAAATTAGATTTTTTAAAATCATCTATAATATCGGTTTCTCTTTGGTATTAGTACGGTTCGATTAATTTTCGAGTTTTTTTACTTTTAAAATATCACCTTAAAATATACTACTATTAATATATTTCTTTCACAACTATGTTTTTGAAGAAGCACTTTAATTTTTCACCAAAAAGACAAGAATGTAAAACTTTGTTGCTGTATTGTTTGATCTTAAATATTTAATAAGAGTGTTTGGATAGGTTTTGTTGTATTGTTTGATAAAGTATCTATTATAGTATCTTTTAATTTTAAACTTAATCAAGTAAAGGCTAATTAAAGAGCAAAGACTCAAGGTCGTCTAGTCACCAGAGGCCTAGGACCTAAGTTATATTTATATTTGAAAAATGTTATAAAAATATATTTATATATTAAATTTAACATATTGTTAATACATAAAATATATTTACATGTAAGGTTGTTCGGTTTGGAAATTTTTCGGTTTTTTTTCATAAATTAAAAAGATTATCCGATTATTTGGGACGGTTATACACTTAAATAAAAATTCACAATTTTATTCAAAAAAATAGCATAAATCGATTCGATTCGATTGATTTTTTATATTCTTTTTACATTCCTTTTATATTCTATTGAAAGTGAATAAAAATAAAAGAGAGAAAATATTGAGTAGTTGATAAATATGGATCCACGTACTATTAATTTTCCTTTATTTTTGTTTTTTGGGAGTTCTCGAATTCATTAATTACTTTTTCTTTGTATTTATTTTGGAGGAGAAAATAGTTGTCTTTTCGAGCTATGATTGAATTTTCAACTAACACTTATACTTTATGGGGTTTTTATAAATCCTTAAACTACTTTAAAATGAAATAAATAACACCCTAAAATTAGACACTCACATTTTTAACATGCATCGAAGGATACACACTGTCAGCTATATATATATACACTTCAAATTGTAGATTAATATAATATATGCCTCAAATCCTTCACATTAAATATTTTCTTGGCTTTATTAATTTCTGAAAATCTCAAGAAGAAAAGAACTATTGTTCTCCATTGTTTCATCGAATTTGTGCAAATCTATGAAATTTTTGAATATGATTGGATATGTTGTATTGAATCTATGTGATACTTGTTAATCTATGAAACTAAATTATGCAGATTAAAATTGACTAAATTTTCATTCACAAAAACAAATAAACAAATCATGTTTTCATGGACTAAATATATTGTCCCTACACTTGACATGAAACTTTTTCAATTCTCAATGAACGATCATAAATAATACGATTCTCAAAGTAGTGTTGTTGATATAAGTATTTTAAATATGGTCTACACTTAATAAAGCATAAGTAGTTTAATCATATGCAACTCTATTTTTTGACATATCACAATACCTCATCAAGTACTATATTAACTACTTACTAATTTCTACTTCTAAAAACTCCGCTTAATAATTTTTTAAAATTATAATCATATGCAACTCTATTTTTTGACATCTACAAGTTACTAATTCATTTTCTTTAGTTGCAGAATGAAATAGGGAAGGCATACTTTTAATTTTGATTTAGGGCTCATAAATCGACATATTACATAAGATTACATGAGTTTACATGAAATATTAAAAATTAGAAATTTAATTCGATAAAGTAAATGAAACAAATGTATTATAAGATATTATGTGTGCGGTAAAAAGACACAGTTATATTGTTATTTTAACATCTCTACCACTTAATTTAAATATATTTAAGTTACCTGATTTTCTTTTCGATTTAAACGAATCAAAGAGTGCTATTATTTTTAAAATTATTTATAAGGGCGAAATTAACATGAAGAACAAAGAATTACTAGTTCTAAAATTAATTTTATAACAAATTTATCTCTTATTTAGTTACGATAAAATTACAAGATAATTTGTTTTGAAATGAGAGTATTTCAAAATTATAAGATTATTTTACTAATATCAAAATAGTTAATCGTGAAACAACTAACATCTGAATATTCTCTTCATTCATTTTTACTTGTCACTTATTTTTAAAATAATTTTTTATTTTTACTTGTCACACTTTTAATATATCACGAAAAAATATTTTTCTTCATATTTTATCTTTAACATTAAATATTTATTTTCTAAATTATTTTTTAAGACCTAATATTAAATATTATTTTAATAGAGATAATAAATAATTAATCTCGAAATAACTTGCCACGGAAGTGGCTCTGCTTTGTGTCCTTATGCACTTGGATTGTTTAAATTGATTCAAAAAAATCTATCTGTCAAAATCATAACCCCACAGAAAATGCCCCCGGCTACCCCTCAATCCACCGCCGCCACCACCGCCGCCGCCGCTTCTACCGCCAATCACCGCCCAGGAAACTCCAATTCTAACCTAAACCCTAACAAAATTGACCTAAAAAACCCTAACAATCTCAACAGAGCAACCAATTCGCGTATCTCTTCCGTTGACACCGATATGCCCGACCCGAATTCCTCGACCGGGAATACTGCTGCCCGTCCCTCTTCTTCGAATGCCTTAACGCCGATCAAAATTGACGGATGGGAGGAGGATGCTGTTCTGTCCCAATCCAAGCATTTGCATCGAGTGGAAGTTTACAAAAGGAGGAATAGACGGAGTAAGCAACTCCAGCGTATATACAGAGATTGTTACTGGTCGTTAATGGAGGAAGTCAAGCTCAAGCATAGAGAGTATTGCTGGAAGTTTGGAATGAGTGCTTTTCAGGAAGATGAGGATAAGAATAATAAGGATGGTACTCTAGGAACTGGAGAGAACAACGGGAATGCGGTTACCAGTAATACGTGTGGGGTTCATGGCTGTAAGTCGAAGGCAATGGCGCTTACGAGGTTCTGTCATATGCATATATTGTCAGATTCCAAGCAGAAGCTGTACAAGGCTTGCAGTTTTGCCATCAAAAGGTATTTTTCTTTTCTTCACATTTCATACATTTATGTCTTAATATTTTGCACAGTTCTAAGCTTTATGAAGAAATATATCTTTTCATATGTCTGTGACTCTCAATTCGATATGATTGTCCTGCCTTAGAATATCCAGCACTACATGTTATTACCCTTGCTATTAGGTTATCTTGATTCCTGAGTATAGTTACTATGCAAAATCTGCAGACAGTGGAAAAGGTAGTATCTTGTGTGGGTATGCACGCGTGAACTGTCTTGCTTGGAGTGTAATTTGTGTCTCAAAGATGCGTCCTTTCTGAATTGTTTCTGAAGCAGAATGTATATGCTCGCGCCCAATTTGTTTATTGTTTGGGATAAAGCTGGTTATTTTGCTAACATATAACAAAAAGATCTCATCTTTTTTCCTCAAAAGGAACTTTGCCAATTAGCTTCAAGTTTTTGTTGTTCTTTTTTCCTTTTCCTATTTTGTTAAGATTCTTTAGTTTTTCTGGAATCTTTTGTGACGATTTCCTGATAAATTTTACCCTTGTGCAACGATTGCTCTTGTACCTAGCAAGCAGAACATGTGTGTGTAAGAGAGTATGGCTCTGGAAGGCTGTAAGCTAAAGTAAAAGCAGTTTAGGTAGTTGGATTCACTTATGTTCTGATAGCCTTTACGAGTAAGATTAGGTCGTATGGTGTGTGTATATCATTTTAATGTTTTATGATCATTGGACTTCACTTCCCCAGCAACTATGATTTGTTTTGAATTGTACCCTGCAACTTTTAACTTTCTAACCTCATGGTATAGTGCCTGTGGGATCTAGTTCTGATTCCTACAGTTTATCTTTTCCTGCTCTTCAGAATTACGAAACTACCTTCTTGTTATTCATTTTGTTCCAGCCTATGTACGCTTAAACCTTCCCCAAGATATTAACCATCAATAATTCCGCCAAGTTCAATGCCTAAATCTGGCTTTGTATTGAATCCTAAAAGGTGCTGTAAATCCCCGTACTTTGTAGTAAGTAAAGAAGAAACTTCCAACTGTGGTGATTGTTATTTTTTGTTAATTAAGAAATCTGTTGTTTCCAGCTCCGAAGCTCAGTGGATAATGACTCTTCCTCTGTCCTGCTCCGCTTAAATGCAAAACTTTGTTAACTAGCCAACATTTGAATTCCCCACGTACATCTAAGAGACATTCTGCTGTGTGCTACCTCTGCTGTTGAACCAAAAAACCCACTAGAACCTTCTTTGTTTCGTGTACTACCATTTATCCAAAAAAGAACTTTCTCCCAGTGAGAAGGCATTTGACTTTCCAATTGAGAAGTCTAATTACCAGTTCATATCCGTTAATCATCACCATAGTTATAACTTTATGGATGCACCTTTTTCTCAAAATAAAAATTGTACATAGGTACCTAATACATCTTATCTTATCCTCCCTCTACTTCTGTTTCCTTCCACTTCTTCATTCAAGCTGGATTTTAGTTTTTTCAACTCGTTTTTCCCAATTCCTCTGCTCTTTGGGGTAGAAACTGGCTTACCAGGCCCCTTCTTATCTAGTTGTGATTTCCTCTCATCAATCTTCATCAACAATTCTATGGTTTCTTTTTCAAACCCTTTGAAAGCCACCCTGTAAGTATTACTCAACTATAAGATGTGTGAATTAACCCAGTTTAATGTTTCTGTCTTGATATCTTCTTGAGAAATTGGGAGCTGAATATTGACTGGTTCAGCCTCACGAATCTGTTGTAACTGCATTTTTTGTTCTGTCTCTTGTGTGTCATTGACTATTATGGTATCAGATTCCTCTCCTTCCTTTTTGTGGTCAATTTTCGTGACTTTGTATCAGGAATCTTTGTCTGGGTGTTTAAGAGGTTTCTTTCTCCCCCTTCCTTTTGCATCATCATAGTATCCTCCACCTCAGCTGCTATTTCCCAGTTCCTGATGATGCCAAGTCCTTAAGTTCTAAAAAACCTTTATTCCCCTCCACGTGCCTCTCACTATAAAGTTCTTGGGCTTTTTAATATTCCCAGCTGGGCTTGGGTTTTTTAGAGGTTGAGTAGGTTTTAGGCCTGGATTTAAATTGAGCAAAGGCTGACCTATATTTGTCTTTGGAGTTGGACCCATAGTGGGGCCTGAACCTACGACGTTTGCTGGCTCCCCACGTGGTTTCCTACTGACATCTCCACCGGCCCTTGTATTACCCTCTGGGTAGATCCTCGAAGTCGGTTGGGTAAAAGGGTTTTCATTTCGTTCTTCCCCGATGGAGTACCTCGTTGTCGTCTCTGTCCATAGCTGCACGGAGTATGAGATTCCGGCATTCAACACAGTCACCTCCTTCGGAGTCCTTGACCCGTCGCCTTCAACTTTAATTCTAGCCCATTTAAGGTGATTTCTTAGTAGCGTCTCTTCCTCAGTTTCAACCCAACCCCCACAGAAATAACCAATGGCTTTAGAAGTCGTCTTCGACCATAGATGCAGTGGAAGACCTACGATCTTGATCCAGGTCGAACTTGGTCCGTTCCATTATCGTTGGGGTCCACCAACCCAGTTGGATCTTTGAGTTGTTCCAAATCCAATCCCCTGTTATCACCTGTTCCACCGTGACTCTTGTTGCAAACTCGAACAAAATCTTTCCGTCCCCCATCTCGTAAATATTCAAGCCATGAGTTTGTCTCCATATCTTATTGGCCCATCCTCTCACCTCCGGCTGAGTGGCTACCCTCATATTCCTCTCTTCAGAATTTCCCACTAGGCTTCTCTGTAGGACTTCGTTTTGTGTATTTGAGGTGTCATTAATGTTGATGATTTCCTTCTCCTTCATTAAAGTTGTTGTTGTAGAATTAACTCCCTCCTCTTTCCTATTTGACCATTTAAGCTCCTCAGTGTTTGGAAACTTCGCCAATCCCTTTCTCAGTGTTTCCGTTGGTTCAGGTTTGATTTGGTAGGTTTGAAACTAACTCCTCTTTTTGGTGTGTGGTTTTCCATCGTTTGGCATCTCCTTTCTTTTGCTCTTGAGTAGTGTATCCCTTTCTCATTAATTCTTTTGATTATAGTAGTTGGGTAAAATATCTGGCCCAGGCTGACATTTAGTTCTTTTAAAAAAGAAGGAATTTGGCACAGGTCATTTCCTACTTGGAAAACATGTAGCCCATCATGGTTTTTGAGTTCTGGCCAGTACTTTGAAATGTTTCTGGTCCATTCGAGGTGATCTATATTTGTCAATTCTACTGATTTTGCCAATTGCTTCTTGCCTGCTGCACTCCTGTCCCACACCCATCAAAGTTTATGCAAATCCTAGTGTTCGTCCCGGTGGTGTTACTGTAACTATCTTTTAGAACTCCTATATTATCAACTTTAAGAAGTTTCTACAATTATTTTGTTTGCTCGGGATCCAGTCTATGCAAATCCACACTATTAAGTTGTGGTTGCATAGAATAGGTTTTCACCAAGACTTTCACTAAATTTCCTTATCTTAATTGTTTCTTTTTCCAAAATAGATTGTCGTGAAGTTATGACATTTGTACTATATTAAAACAAAAAAATACCATGGTCAACTTTTGAGTTCACCGATCTGATTTGTGCTTTCATAAAGGATAACGTAAAAAAATCTTATTAAAAATAGAGAACTTCCATATACAAATAGTGTACTAGAAAATAGAGAGGCTACATAAAGAATAATTCTCTACGGAAAAAACTCAGAATCTTCTGCACTAATAGCAACCTTGGGGGTGCACCAAATGCATAACTTAAAATAAAATTCTACTTTTCAAATGTATAAAGTCATTCTAGCCTCCAGAGCTTAACACTTAAAGTGTGGGTTAGACACATCAAAGATCCAAACCCTGTTATTTAAGTTGGGAAGTGTAGAGGTGAGTTCATACTCCTACAGTTTCGAACCCGTGTGCCAACTGGAGTTGGATAGAAGTCACGAGAGATTTCTCTGATGTATAAAAAAGTCTTTGAAGTTATTCTTTGTTCTTTTAGAAAGTTCTGTTTCTCTCCCTTCATAGCCACACGAGAGCTAGATGAGCATCTTCTCATGCCCTACATCTTTTCTTTCTTCTTCTGAAGGCCGAGCTGTGTAGTATATTTTCACTTTGCCCAACATTGTCCACTGTACTCCAAACCAGTGTACATGACATGTACCACAGTGGGGTTGCCACGCGACAATGCAACAGAAGTTAGTCCACATCTTCGCCCAAGCATTTGGACACAAAGCACTGCCTAACATATGTGAGCCTCCTCTTTCTCAAGTTCTCAGCTGTCAGTGTTGTTCACCTTTCTAACAGCCAAGATAAAACACATGTTAAGAATCCAGATCCACAAGTGCAGGAAGTGTGAGTTCTGTCTTAGAAAAAATATGATAGTATGGCCCCCAAGGCCTAGCTCGAGTGGCAAAAGGTGGAGGATTTGTGGCTTAGGTCGCAGGTTCAAGCCCCACACCATGCAAAGTGAAGCCTGGTATTTAAGTGGAGAGGGGCGGGCCCATTATCCACCGAGTTTAGAAGGCTGTGATTGGTCCAAAGGGCAGGTCACAGACGGATTTCTCGGTTATAAAATAAAATAAAATATGATAGTATGAATTTGTTGAGTACAATCCACCTCTCCTCAAACCCAACTTGATGAGTGCTGGCTAGCATATGTTGTCTTCTGCTTGTAGAGCATTTCAATTGAAATTTGTCTACCTCTCAGCCTTGTAGGTTCTTCTGAGCATCAAAATCCGGATGTACTTGTCCATCTTGTGTCCTACATATCTACTCACGACATCTCATCTCTCTCGCTCAATACTTTATATATGTCGTAGAAAATGATCCACAAGGTGTTTTATTCAACTACTTGTGACCCCAAAAACTTGTAAAAATCGATTCTGCTGTCATCCCTTTTGTGTAGCACTGCCACTTAAGTCTTTGCACCCCAGGATGTTTCTTCATAGTCTACGACTGTGAGGATTGGTGTTTCTTTATAGTCCTCGACCGAAGAGTTACATGATGTTTGAAGTCCTCATGACCCATTCATGTCTCATGCTTTTACGTGATTCACAACCCTCCATAAAACCTGCTCTTTGCCTTGAATCTCCATAATTTCCTAGTAGTGCTTTGTTGAATATCCTCAAGTCTTTCAATGCAAGTCCTCTGAATGTTCTCAAGTCTTTGTAAACTTTTGAGTTCCCTAGCGCCTTCAGTTGTCATTTAAATTTCTTTTTAGTTTGAAGTGAACCCCTCCCAATTATCTCATTCTTCTCGCAAAATAAAATAAAATTTGAACTACCTGGCCGTCATCACTTCTTGCTGAAGTTACCAGACGACTCCCAAAACCATTATTCAACTTTTTGGACTTCAGATTTTCCTCAATATTCTCAGTATGTAGTATGCCTCTCATTATGCTTTCATCATCTTGTTCTTCTAAACACTTCTTATTGCACTTGGAACAGGATAACCCACAGTTATAGATATATGCAGCAGGAATCTGATGCTTTAGAGTCATGATTAGGTGTAGAAGTACTCATTTCACTTGCTAGCTTCTGTAGTTGAAGACTATTAGATTCGCCTTTTAAAAACAAATCCAAGTGACAGGTGTAAACATGTTTACCCCGGAGAATCATACCAAACTTTACTATGTACAAGCAATGGTATTTACTAGAAAACTGGAGCTAGGCCTGTAACAGTGCTCTCGCTCTCCTTTAATACGTAGACCACTGTAGGTGAGCGGCCTGTTGTTGGGTTGCTTGCATTGAGGCAAGGTGCTTCAGTGTGCTAGTCTTGTTGCTATGGGTGACCGGCATAATCTATTTGCTGAAATGGCTCTTAGTTGTGTGGTGTCTGCTGGCTGGTAAGTTGGTCCATCAGTGGGGCACTGGTGTTAATGGTGGGGGCACAGGTGCATTAGGAACATGTGGTGCTCTAATGTTTTGGTTGCTTGCACACTGAGGCATGACCAAAGGTGCACTTGTGTTATGAGTCATGGAGTATAGTAGGACAACAGGCTGTGACAGTCCTCTTTTCTTGTATATAGTCTTTACGTGTAATGTATATTCTTTGTTTCACTTGGTTTAGTTTTGGCATCCAGTTCCATGAGCAGCCTTTTCACTCAAATTGTTTGTTCTTCTCCTAGTAGCTAACTTGCAATGTTTTGCTGTAATCACTGACTGCATCTGGATGCATTCTTGTTTCTTTCATTTCATAAAAGTAACCGCTGATGCTGTGATTTTCATGAGTTCAGATTTTGTGGATCCTAATCGTAAAACATTGGGAGATATCTTATTACTAGTTAGAGTTAAGATAGTATTACTTATCGATCAAGCTTCGTTGCTTTATTTTGCAGTTCGCCAACAGGGCCCATACTTTGTGGGAAGCCAATATTGAGGTCTGCTGTTCCTTCCTACTGCTCTCTTCATTCTCAGAAGGCTGAAAAGCATGTGGCACGGGCTTTAAAGAAGGCAGGACTTAATGCCTCTAACACAAGTAAAATAGTCCCCAAGTTTCATGTTATAGTTGCGGAATGTGTTAGCCAGATCCAAAACAGAAGAAGAGCTGCACAAAAAGCAACTCTAGAGATGGCCGAGGTGAAAGAGGAGAGCAGCTGTTAAGGCCGAGCATCACGTAAAACTGAAGCCTGTATATTTTCTTGGCAAGTTGGTGATGCAACTATAACAAGTATATTTGGTTAAATAGGATTTTGTGTGGGAAGACAGGAGTTATGACTTGGAAGAAAAGATTGTATGTATAAAAGGGTACTGCAAACTAACCGAATTTCGTCTATATCGAGCTACATTTGTTCAATATGTTCTCTGATTATGTTGTTCTTGTTTGTGATCCATGCAATGTTGGAAGATTATGTAACAAGAAACATACAACAATTCAGTTGTATTTTAACTCAATATTTTTGTTAAATAAAGTTCATTTTTGAACCTGACATCTGCTAATGGTTGCTGCAATTCTTGCTGCTCAGTTTGCATTGTGTGCTCTCAGGAAGAATGTATTTTTATTTTTTTATTTTTGGTTTCTCACTCGGTGTTCGGAGCCTGACTATGCCTTTATGGACGGAGAGATTAGGCTTTTTCTACCATTTAAAAGATGTGAAAATAAAATATAAGTTGATCTTTTTACAGAGTTTTTTTTCTTCTATTTAAATGGTAAAGAATTATGGTGAACCATTGGGGGTCACAATTTTCTTCCAATGATTTTTGTGCCGGAAAAATAACATAGTAATAATTACATTTCAAATTTTGGTCAAAATTTTCTTTTTTCATATATTTCTTTGACTAATATTTTAAAATGTGTTTTTTCACCATATCAATATGAAAAATAATTACGATTCATAGTATTTTTTTTTTATAGTTTTTTATATTGAGCAACTTTCACATATAGCAAACATAAAAATCATATTTGTATGTTATACCTATAGTTTGCATAATTGCGCTCCATAGCAAATTTTATGTTTGCTATGGAGCTTTTGATTTGTATAATTCGCTACAAACATTCAATTTTATACAAATTGTTCAGTTTTGTATAAATTCATTTATACATTGTAATTTGTATAATAAGATCTGTATTTGTATAATTATGAGTGTATTTGACGAATATATATGTATTTATATTTGTATATACATTTTTCTCTCGTTTTATACAAACAAAAATGCATTTTATATATTTTATACTGAAATGTATAAAATGGCTAATTGTATATCGAATCAGATGGCAAAAAAAAGGATGTTTGCTGCAAATTAAAATTAAAATAAATTATGGCTATAGCATTTTATTTTTTTCATTTTAAATTAAGGAGTAAATATAATCCAATTTAGCTTCAATCGATTAATCAAATTGACTTCCAATAAGCGAAAATTACCACATGAGATGGTAATCCTATTTTATACTTACCTTACGCAACATGTACCTCTCTCTTCTTTTTTCTTTGTAATATTATAGTCTTATTTTCAATATTATAAAATGACCGAAAATAATATAATCATCAAGATATTATATTCATAAAAACAATACAATATAACATAATATAATCCAGTAAATGAATAAGCATAGTTTAAGACAGAAATGTCCTTAACACAAACACTATTAATCTCAATATTATTGATACACACAGAGGCAGGGTCAAATAAGGCCGAGAGGGTGCATCCAAACCCCTTTAACAGAAAATTGCTCTGTTAATAAATAGTTAAAATATTTTAAAAGTATATATAGAAAAAATATTGAACCTTGTGTTTTCTTCATAATTTTAACCCTTTAGTGAAAAATTTAGCTCCGCTACTGAATAATACTCTGCTAAACGACCGGTTAACATCAAACTGTTGGAGTTTAACACTTTCAGCCGACAGCATAAAACGTAAATTTCTATAAATTCATAAAAAAACTTAGCATTTCTTGAGTCGAGACAAACTAAGGAATCTCTTAATTAACAATAAGGCCAAATCATATTTGTTAATTTTTTCTATATAAACACTGAACTAATTAATGTTTTTGAAGCAAACACAACATCAACAAAAGTGGTTACTTTCAATTTTTTTCATCATAACACATTTTTATTATACAATTGTCAACTTAATTAGTTAAACCATGGCCAAAAAAGTAGTACTAACAACCATGACTTTGTTGTTGTTGATGATTTTGGGACTTAGCTACCTTCACATTACTACTGCAGCAACCAATGGCAATGGCAATGACAACGGCAACAACAATGGCAATAGTGGCAATGGGACTGGCAAACGCAATGGCAAAGGTACTGGCAATGTACAAGTATTTCCAGCACGTAACGGGCATGAAATAGGATATGATGTACAAGTATTTCCAGCACGGAACGAGCATGAAATAGAAAAACTAACGAATTTGTTGAGAGGAGCAGGCATGCGTGCAAGGCTACAAACTAGTTGTTCTTGCTATAATTGTGGTACTTATCAATGTTACTGCAGAGGTTGTAGCTCAGAAATGTGCTGCATATAATGATAAAAAGTTAAGAAGTGTTGATGATCACATGAAAGGAAAATAAATTGGAAGAAAATAAAAACATTTGTTATATGTGGCTTCGGTTAAATATGTGATGTATTTATTGATTTGATGTAAACCTCGAGTGAGGGTAAACTTGTACTCTTTCTAAGAGTGTTGTAACTTGTATCCTAAGATTTGAAACTATGTGCTTTTTAGTAGAAATGGACCTTGGATATAACTCTATGTCAAAAGCGTTGATACCGTGATAAGGAAATAGACTATAGGTCTAACTCAATCACAGAAGCTAGCTCATGAGGTGAGAATTACCTAAATTCTTATATCCGTGGAGGACTCAAGATTTTCACGCGAAGAAGCTAAATTTAACACCTATGCTATATGCATAAAACAAAAATTGACCTTGTATGTACAATGTAATTTTCCGGGGAAGGAGGTTTGGATGAAACCCCTAGATCCACTCGTGCATCGTGTACAAAACAAACTCATAATTCTTCTCTGTATGGAGAGATCTGAAGGGATCAATCACACAAAAGATGCATCGCGTGCACAAGATGCATTATTGGGCTAACCTGAAGCAAGAGCTATATGGATGTCTCAGCAGTAGGCTGTGACTGATTCATACGACACCCAAGTCGAGACTTTGGAGTAGGCTGCAGCTGCAAGAAGATACTTGTCGAATCATTGGGGTCGACATAACTGCAAAATAAGAAAGAAAGAAAGACTTTTGAAACTTATGGTCCAAAACCTGTCTTAGAAAGTTATATGGGCTATAAATCAACGCATCAAGGGTATACGGAAAGTTTAAAGGTAAATGTCTCGTTCTTTTGGGGCAAGTTAGAAAGGATAAAGTGATGCATAAATTGGGACAGAGGGAGTAATTCCATTGTACAAAAAGCAAGCAATGTGACATACGCATATCTCGTCATCTCATCGACTGGTGTTTTGGTTGCTTCATGAAGAGGATCTACGCGATGCTTTGCCCTTGACCGTCTGTAACGTCGTCTCACTTTTCCAATTAATTTGAAAACTAAAGGAATGAAAGCCTCACAATCACATTCCTTGAACATAATTTTAAACGAATGAGGAATTACGCTGTTTTCGTTATCATTAGCTGGTATAACCTGAAATAGGCTAAAATCAGTCATCTGAAGTAAGGTTGATATATAGTTCATGAATAATAAATCTATCTATCTATTATACTTACCGGATTTACATATCCAGAAATGTTTTTGCAGAAGAATATTGGTTGATTTAATTTTTCGCCATGAACAAAAAGCTGCAGAATGAAGTAGATTTGGGTCAGCCAGAGCAGTTATCGGTTTTCTATATATTGTTTCTTATTCCGCTCGTCACAAAAACCCATGATTTGGTAGCAAAATACTCTTTCCGTTTCAAATTGTTTGTCTTACTTTCCTTTATATGCGTTCCAAAAGAATGTCTCTTTCTTTTTCGACAACTCCTTAATTTTAATTTTCCGCATGACATGTTTAAGACCACAAGATTAAAGGCCGGCATATTTGTAGTTTAAGAATACAAGATTCAAATATCTTCTTTACTTTCTTAAACTCCGTGTCAAGTCAAAACCAGACAAACAAATTGAAACGGAGAGTGTAATTGACGGAACTACATAGTCTTCAAGTAAGAGAGAAAGAGAAGAAATCATCAAGGCATTGGGAGAACTCCTACACATAAATGTGTGTGTTTGTATATCTAAAAAAATTCCTCCTTTGAACCAACTAACTCTTAATGCCGGATCCACCTCTGCTCTTATTCAACTACTTCGACCATTTTTGAATCGAGCCACAAAAATATATCAAAATCTAGACAACATGTCACAACAATAAGAACAGAGATACAATCAAGTAGTGAAGCACAACTCGACTACAAAAAGATTGAATTGAACGAAATGTTTGAGCTATCTCTTATCACATCAAGGTAGTCATCCAAGTGCAACAATACCAAACATGGAAAAAAAAGGCGGAAGCTTTATTAGTGGTTTAAGCACAAAAATGAAATAAAGCGTGAGTTTTAGTGACAAAAAGCGTGATTGAAGGGAATGATAAAAGATACTATATATGTAGCAAAACCAAACAACAATTATTCAGTGTTGCTCTCTTCAAGACAGAGCATATGGGCGATGAGATGCACACCTTATCGCCTTGTGCCCTATATCGCAGCTAGCTTCAGGGCTTAACGGCCTTTAACAACACTTTCAAGTCTAAGACAGTTACCCCAACAAACAATAAAATAGACAACAAATGCAGGAATTCAACACAGGCGATATTGCTTAGCTAGAACTAACCAACAATAACATACCAAGTGTATAGTCTCATAAGTGGGGTTTGGGGAGGGTAGAGTGTACACAGACCTTACCCCTAACCTGGGAGGTAGAGAGGTTGTTTCCGATAGACCCTTGACTCAAGATAAAGCATATCATAACATGTTAGGAAAGGAAATAAATGGAAGTGAAGAAACCATGGCAAGATACTATAGAAAGCAAGACAATGCATACAGTAAAAAGGACAGGAAGTAACAAAAATCTAAGGGCAAGAAACTACAGGAGAAATACCATGACTACTAGTAAGGAAGGATAAGCAAGACAACGCTAGCTAGAACTAACCAGACAACAGTATATCAGATCGAAGCACATGCAAAGTCGAGAAAACTCAAATGTTTTAGTATCCCTGGAACCTTCATTCAAGATTCTGTACAACAACTTGAAATATAAGTCCTACAAGACTATAAACAAAAGAGGGCATATGGTCATCCTGGAACCTAAAGATATCAACCTCGCGTGTTGCAATTTTATCGGATAAATTCAAATAAATATAAACAAGAAACGAATCCAACAAACAAAGACATGGATTTGAAGCAGAAACCATTTTTTCCACATGATTCATAAAGTGTATATTTCCTACAGAATCAGGCAATCGAAAGCAAGAAGGACGAGCATTACATACCAAGGGAATGTCAAAAGCAATGAAGTTGTCCCTAGGATTCTTTGCAACAAAGACCATCCGGATATTCGATAAGTAAATGGTTCCTTTTGTTTGTACTTCTCCTAAACTGCAAAAGCAAAATATTCATAATTCATGTCAATGCAGATGTCATTAACTTGGTTTAAAATACCAAAATATAAGAAAAAACAAACAAACAAAAAGTGAAGAAAGAGACCATAGCCCGAGAAGGCGATGCACAAATAACGTTGATCTTTCCTAATTTCAATACCACTACCCAGCCACTCCATCCACACTGAATAAACTCAATGCATTAATCAAGCCCAACAATACAAATACATGCTTCATGTCCAGGCTATCTCAACTAATTCCACGTGCTACCTGTTACCTCCCACCAGCACAACTATCACGTAACTCTGTCCATCCAAACTTATAATAAGAGGAAATCACCCAATATTTCCGTCTTTGCTGAGATTTGATGCTAACACGTCCATGTTTCTCAGCTCAATTCATTAATCACTATACCATAATACCATGTTAAATTAACTCTTACACCTAACTCACACCCACTGTCGGGGCTAGAATTTTTAATAAGGGGTTCAAAATTTGAAGAACTAAACACATGAACTAATCAAAGAGGGTTCCACATCTACTATACATACATAAAATATAATTTTAACCATATATAAATAATAATATTTTCGCAAAAGGAGGTTTGGATGAACCCCTAATAGTATGGTAGCTCCGCCCCTACTCACACCCTGAAAAAGTTAGCTCAAAAAAAGGAGAACGGAGAATTGTCTGAGCCTTATAAGAAGCCCACCATTCCATTCATTCACTCATCCCATTCATTGTGACACATTTCATTCATCACACATATTTTTTTCTTATGACACAGGAAACCGCAGCCGCTACCCTTGTAAAATCCTCGCTCCTATGCAATAGCTCGCAAACCACATAGGAAAGGTAACCCGCACTACGCAAGCCCGGTGCGACAACCCAGAAGGCAAACTCCTTATTTTCACTGGCAAGGGGTTTCGAACTTGAGACCTCCAACATGGAAGTCTCAAGCCCAAACCACTGGGCCACCCCGAAGGTATTCATCACACATATTTGGGTGGTGCATTCAATAAACTTAATCTATCCACTAAAATAAATTAATCTCATGAAAATCTTTACCATAATCTTGTAAATTGCACTACTTACAAAATTAATCACAATTATTTTTTTGCCCAAGATCTGAAATTCAAATGAATTAGAAAATAAAGAAAACAAAATGGAAAAAAATGCAAACAAAGAAGAATAAATAGGTACCGAGGAATGTTATCGATCTGAAATTCAATTCCATCGCTAGCAAAGACGAACAACTCATTGAGAAATGGTGCTGGCATTCCATGAGCAAATAATTTAGGATTCAATGACATTTTCGACTAACAACAAAATCAAATATTTGATCGATTATCAGAAATGGCCTTTGTTTTTTTTTTTGGAATAATGTTTTGAAAATTTCAAATTCCGTGTATCTATGGGTTACTCTTAAACGTGTTTATCGCGTGTAAAGCTTTATACCCTATACCAAGTATTGTTTGACAAAGTATATAAAAATAATTAGGGGTGTGCATTAGTGCATAGATCGGTTCGTTCAGTTTTATGTATTATTGATTAGGATTATCTGTTTCTGATTTTTAAATATGTTAAATTAATATCAAATTAAATTATTTTTTTATCAGTTTTGACCATTAACGATTCGTTTTCGGTTTACCGAATAAGAAAATACTCATAAAATAAAGACATAATACATAAATATACCCTTTAACTTGACTTCATTTTATATTTATATGTGCACAAGTAAACACTTGAACTTCTATAAAGTTAAACAAGAAGACACATGAGTTCTACGTGACATAATACACGTAGGACACCACATATGATGCAAATTGCCATGTAGGATGCCGCGTAGGACGTGTGTGTATTTATTCAATTTTATACATGTTTAAGTGTCTACTTGTGCACACTCAAAGTCAGAGGGCATATAAGTAAAATGAGGTCAAGTTAAAGGGCATATTTATATCTTATGCCTAAAATAACTATATGATTTCTCACTTCTCTAACAATTTGACACGATACAATGAGACATGCAAATCAGTTGTAAATGCTTTGATATAGTGAAATGAGAAATTGATTCAATAAGAGTAGATGTAGTACGAAGGCTACAATCACATGTTACAACCAAAACATAATATGGAATTTCAGATGTGAAGTAGAAGTAATGTGACGTGTGAAGTGTGTAGACCGTAGTGTAGAGTACTGATATAGTGTCTAGTTATGTTAAATTATTAATATTTAATATTTATGACGGGTATAGTAGTAAATTATTATCGTCTTAATGAGTTATCGATTTACCGAATAACCCAATACTAAAAACAGATACCAAACTGATAACCCAATAATAACTCGTTAACCTAATAATTCAATAGCATTTTTTTCGATTCGATTTCTACACACCCGTAAGAATAATACTAAATAAATTGTAATAGCAATGATGAGGTTAGTAGTATTCCTCATTGCTTTCTGAGTTAAATATGCTTTATGGGGCTTGTTTAGTACGGTTTACATCTTCTATGTAGTTTGAAGGTTATTATACAATGAGATTTGGCCAGTACACACAAGTGCTCATCAGAAAGACGGATGATGTGACAGAGCGTGTAGTGGTTGTGGATTATACTGGGGGTCTCAAAAAAATGTTGAAGTTTAAAATTAGTTATATTGAAATTATTTTTTATTAATGGTTTGTTGGGTGTATTAAGGATAGTTTCATTTTTACACATGTTTATTCATGTATTAAAATTTTTAATATATCCTACCAAACGACTCCTTAGTACTATCCCATTTCATTTTACTTGTCCCTTGTTAATTTCGACACTCCCCTTAACAATGTGTTTAATTAATGTTATTTAAATTTAATTGTATTGCATGTATTGTTACTTTAACTATAATTTTTGTATTGATTAATTGTATTGTATTTTTCGTTAAATTTATTGTTACGTACGAATGAAAAATCTAATGTGGTGTAATTATCGAGTTGATGTGATTGTGTTGTTATCTTCTAATTTTCTTTTACTTGCATTTTGACTTTATTCATTAGTTAATAATCTTATGTTATCAATTACTCTATAAATATATTTCTACTTCGTATCGTTATTTTCATTTAGATTCATTTTTCAAATTATTGATATATAACATTATATAACAAGAAAAAAATACCATTTATTCAAATATCATATTCATCAAAATAATATAATAGCATAGAAAATCTTTACACTATCAACAAATTAGAGTTATTCACTTTCATAAAGAAAATCAAAGAACACTATATAATTAATTAAGTCTAACCGTGTTGCGATGTCGATATTACAATTAAAAAACCAATATTTAGGGAAGACTTATGGTATAAATTTATATTTTTATAATCTCTAATCTATGATATTAAATATTAACAATAATTTTCAATTAAGTTAACGTTGAATTGTGTAAACTTTCTAAACTAATCTTATCTACTTCTCCATTGATCTTGTGTAATTATTGTTTCTTTCTTTCTATTTTGTGAGGGTATGTTTGGTATGGAGGAATATTTTTTCAAATTTTGGTTGATTAAAATAAAAATCTTGAAGATTAGAAAAAAGATTTCAATAGAAAAGACAAGTTTCATATGCGATTTTATTAATGCGGCGCTTTAAGATATTCTGATATCTTGTTTATGAACTATAATTTACTGGTTTGCTAAGATTATATAAGAATTAGAGAAAACTTTCATAGTTTTCATGATTAAGAGGAAAAAAATACAATTTAAAAAAATTTCAAATTGCATGTCCAAACGCAACTTCATATCGATCTGATTTCATACACATCACATGTCTAAACGGGCCTTAATATAAGTTTTTTACTCTAAATACAGCTAGGGGAGTGACAAAATTGATCCATACATTCACCATCCAACTAATCCAAATGGGTTGGGCTTGAAACATTTTTCTGATGGGTTGTTTTGGGCAGAGCCCATATATACTTGTAAATTTAAATTAGCCCAAACACAAACCCATTGACATCAAAGGCGTAACGATCTAGGCACCGTCACGGAGATAGGCTCGGTGACATAGACGTGTCTATGAAGATGCGGACTACCTGCACCTGGACCAAAAGACCCTATAAAGCTTCACTGTTCCCTGGTATTGGCTTTGAGCCTTTCATGTGCAGCTTAGGTGGAAGGCAAGCACCTCGACTATACCACCAAGTACGCACCCAACAAACACATATACCAAATAACTTTGCCCACCGAGGCTTAAAGAAGATTTCCATATGACAAACCCTTAAAATTGTCGATTCTTACTCATGTTCCTTCTCCTTATGAACCTCAAATGCAACTGCACGAAGGAGCTACAACAATATACAGTAGCGGAGCCATATTGACCAAGGGGTGGACAGTTAAACATCCTCCATCGAAAAAGTATATTGTATATGTAGGTCAAAAATTACTCTTTATACATATATATAGATCTTGAACAACCGACAAAATTAGTAGGCTTCACCAATGACTATATACGATTGCACCGTAAAGAATGATGCAAAAGATATCATAGCTTAGCAGACATATCCAAAAGGAAACCATATTCAACAAACACTTGACATTCTTAAGCTAGTATTACCAGCCAACATATTTCCGATACCGACACTGAACGAGTACCTTTCCACAGGACAAATGTAGAAGAAAGCTCTGGCATGTGGAGTCCAAAACTGCACTACTTTTGTAGGATCCAACATGCACTCGGTGACATTTTTGAAAAGTCCGAGCAACAAAGTTGGACTGCATGTCTGCAAGACTTCTTCTGAAAATAGTATCAAACAAGAAAATTACAATCTAATAGTAGATCTCTCGAATTTTCTGCATATAGTGTCGACAAGAGAACCTTTAAAGGAAAGAAAAAGAAAACACTCTGCAGCATCTTATACAAGGTAACCAATGTAAGAAAACAGCATCATACACGTCTCAAAGACAAAACTAAATATTTCCTGCCTGCACATAGAAATTCTTGTAAACAAACTAGGTGTTAGCAACTCATTCTTTTTCTCTTTATTTTCGAAGTCCAATTACCACACAGATATTCGGTATCCTCTTAAATTCTAAACTTCCAAAAAGAAATTACCAAAGCTCAAAGAATTAAACAATCTCTAAGCATCTGCTTAACTATATAAAAAGATGTAGGGTTAGTTTACCCCCTTAAAAAGGATATTACCTGCTGAAGTCTTCGCGGTAGTTGAAATGAGTTCCACAAACCCAGACGATGACAGGCTAGAGAGTTCAATCTGATCTTCTTTCACCAATACATTTCAGAACCTAAGCAATTTTTCTTCGGAAGCCTAAGAATTCAATCAGCAAAAACATCAAATTTGTAACCATTAGTAAGGAGGTGAAACCTGCAAACCCATGTGAGTCCTCTAAATATCAGCCCATCTTCAAGCCAAGTAGTCTTTTACAATCAGTAAATAGATATAATGTACATGTTATCGAAAATATACGCAAAAAGCTGAATTGCATCCTTAACCTCAGATGCTGCAGACCGGAATTATCCAACTGCTTTAAGAGAAAAAAGTACTACATACTGCAGTGCGGACTCTTCTCCTCCTCCAACTCGAAATAGCAAGTGATGATACTAAACATGTGAAATATTACATCAGTTCAACAACTAGCTTCAGAAGTCTAGTCTTCTGAGTACTACTGAGCAATGTATAGCATGAAGATAATAACATAGACTTCTGCATCATCGAATAGTTCTCAAGTTGAAACTCAAGCTTCTCGGCTTCAAAAATGTGACGCTCACTGCAAGTTTATATGTTGGAACAGATAGCAAGCCCAAGGCTCTTGACAATGTCACAGTTACAACGTCCATAGCACGCTATTAATTCCAACCAATACACTCCAACGACTTCATTTTACACCTTATCATGTATCACTTCACCAGTGACAAGTGAACCTTTTCATACACGAGAACGCAGAAAAATCATTCAATCAAGAAACAATGTATCTAAGGAACAAATTCCATAACACTCATTTGAGTCACTGAAAGTTTCAACAAATTACAGAATTCAATTCATTCATCAGAAACCTCCATGGTTTCGTTACAAAAAACATTCATGTGGAACTACAGGTTTTCGTAGACCACACTTAAATAACTATCTTATCCACTCACCATTATCGAAATGGTCAAGCACTTATTAAGCAGTTCTGTGCTTGTAGTGGTAATTCCAACCAAATTCATCGATCACAAGAAACTCCCTTAGATTCTTGCGTCTGGTCTTATCTCTCTCGCTACATCACTCATAACTTAAACGAACTGAAACCCTAGCAAATGCAATGATGGAACGATCGAACAAGCAAACACTCTAATCCTAGCAATAATTCAACAAAACCTAACTTCAT